CAGTACACCTGAGATTTTTGGTCTATGAGGTCTATGAGATGTTACACCTGGTGTAACACACCAGGTGGTTTTTGAACCGTAGATCTATATAAATAATTATCTACTAAGCACACATATACATGGATGTGTGTTGCTATGTGTAGATCAATAGTTCAAGATCATGTGGTGTATTTCACCGGGTGTAACATCTATATAAAACCCTGTTTTTGATCAATAAATACAAAATACCAACATTTGAGCACTTGTTACAACACGACTCCCGGTGCAAAGACAAACAAACAACCAACAATATAATCTTGTTGTATTGATTTGAAATTCCCCATTTAAATGTTCCGATTTTTCGATCCAAATGAAGCATTAGAGTTTGCGAGAATGCTATCCTCAAGTACATAACAAGTAAAAGTAAGTAAAGACAATATATATTCCATCATCTATCTATGCTAGAGATGATGGAGTATGACACAATTATTCAATCAATTCCTGAAATTCTGCATAAAAAAAATCTCAGTTCTGCAGCTTCTCCACTTGGTCCGCCTCATGCTCATCGACGTTTCCCACCGGAGAGAGTCTCTGCACAAATTCACATTAAAAATTTAAAAAGAGTAAAAAAGAGACATCAGTGGGGCATTTCGTCGAACAGTTAAGGGACATTGACAAAAACAGTAAAATACCAAATCAGGCTTGTAGATATTGTGCACAACCGAAGCTCCGGCGAGGAGGGACGCAACGACGACGATGGTTGACCATGCCAGTGACGGAGTTCCCGTCGGCTGCTTGCCACCACCAAATTTCCGATTCATCTCTACCGTGCGCGGCGGATTGTAATTCTCTACAGTTAGATCACAGGCAATTTTATTCTTGAAAAACGTGGTTTCGTTTTTAAGAGTTACAAGTCGCTATTAGCACCAATTTTATATATTTGTTTTATTTGGGTAAATTACAACCGAAAACCCCCTCATGTTTGGATAATTATAACTACCGCCATAAACTATGAATCTTCTTACACGTTCATTCTTATGGTGTCAAATTCAACATAATCTTCTAGGTTCCGTGGAATGTTCACTAATTTGTACTCGTTTTGTGTAAACATGCAGTTTCTGATGCACCACAATCTGATATTTACAAGCCAAAAGACATCTTATGATCATCTTGCTTCAAAATGTGGAGCTCGAATGAATAAAACGGACAAAAAATTTGAGAATGCTCCATATAATCTAAAAGATTCCACTAAATTGGACACCGCAAGAGTGGACGTGTAAGAAGATTTGTAATTAAGGGTGGTTGTAATTACCCAAACATGAATTTTTTTTTCGTAATTTGATCATATATCAGGTGGTCGTTGTAATTTTACCCTTTTATATATTTCTTTTAATTTTCAAAAAATAAACGTAGATAAAAAAAAAAAAAAGAAAATACAATTTTTTTTTTTTTTGTTTTTACTCTTGATGTCACCCCCTTCAAAATTCACCTCAATTCTCGACGGAAATGGATGAACCGAGGGGATCGCGCCGCTGCACGCGGTCGAGGGCAGCCCCAGACTGGACGGCGGAGGAATCCCTAATTCTGGTAAACGAGATCTACGCCGTCGAATCGGAGTGGGGAGCCACACTCCCTTCGTTCCAGAAATGGCAGCAAATCGTAGAGAATTGCAATGCCCTAGAGGTTAGCCGGAACTTGAATCAGTGCAAACGTAAGTGGGACGAGCTGCTGATCGAGTACAGACGGGTTAAACACGACGCGGCGGCGGATGGGTCGCTTCCCGTTGAGCTGTTCGACGCAATTGATATGTGTGTTGGTGCCAGGGGAAGAAAGTACGGTGGTGCTGAGGCGGCGGCGGTGGCGGCGGAGAAGGCGGTAGCGGAAGAAGAGGAGCAAGTGGTCATGGCGACTGACCCGGATTCCGACCCGGAAGCGCAGGGCCGAGCCACTGAGTTCTTTCTAGAAACTGGTAATTGTATTTTTTTTTTTTTTAATTAGGGCTAAGAATTTCATTTTCATTTGCATTCTCTTTACATAAAAATGCTTGAGATTAATACATTGTCTATAGTGATTAGTTTGCTTTCCTTCGAAAATTAGAATAATTCGTGGATAAAAATTCTTGAGTATGTTTGATTCTTGGAAGTTCCCAAGATAGTTCTAAAAACAAGTGTTCTTAAGTTTTATCATGTTGGAAACAATATGAACTTGG